GTCAGAGGCCTACTTTTTTCCGATAACGAGGATTAAATAGAACTCCGCACTTCATACACATCCCGGTCTCCGGTCTAGAGACCGGGATCTGGCCTCCGAAGTGTACCTTCCCGGAGACGGTCTCTTTCGTGAACGAGGACGTCTCCCCCGGCGGCGGCCACGATGACGTTCAGGTAACGTCGGCTCCACAAAAGAGAGGCGCCCCGCAAAAATGTTTTTGTCTCGGCGAACCACCCGAAAATAACGATACGACGCAGCTGCCGAGATCAAAGCCCTCTCCCTTCCCTCCCACCCTTCTTCCGTCGCCCCGCGTTATCCACCCCTCCGGCTCGGTCGCTCCCACCCACACCGCGGACGAACGAACGAATGAAAAAAAAAAAGGGAAAAAGAAATAAAGAAGAAGAGAATCCTCCCACGATTCTCACCGTCAGTCGACCTCGGTCGCTCGTTCGCCGGCTCGCTTGCTCGCTCCTGTTTACGTGTCGCGGGCTCGATGTCTCAACGGTCTCGTCCCGTCTCGTCCCGTCTCGTCCCTCTGTCTTCATCTCTCTCGAGACCTTCTCGAATCCCCGTTTCTCATCCTCCTTCTCGTGTTGTCCTGATTTTAGCGAAGTGTTGCGATCGGCATCCGCCGTTCGTTTGTCCTCCCCCTGGTCCCCGTTCCCACCTTCGCCGGCTCTCTCTCTCTCTCTCTCTCTGTCTCTCTCTCTCTTTACTCAGTAGCGTGTCCTAACGAGGTGCGAATACGCCAGGCCCCAATGTGCGAATACGCTGGGCTTCAACGTTTCCTTTGGATCTTTATGGAGTTCCTCATGTTCCTCGACAGTAAACTTTGGGGTGAACTGTTGGGAAAGTCGGCGGTCGTGCGCGACGCACAGACATCTATATTACACGCCGGACTACTAGCTCTTTCTTGATTATCGTACCTGAAAGTCAATCTGAAAGTTGACCCAAAAATTATGTATTACAATATGAGGAGCGCATGTATAAGTGACTGCGCATGCGTGGTGTAAGTGGTACAACGACGTCACCACCTCTTGTTTTTTTCAGGGACTTATATTCCACCGATTATTATATTTTTTTCTACTCGATATCGCCCGCTCTGCGGTGCCCGAGGCCCTCGATGTTCCGAATACGAGGTTGCTCGCACTCGCTCACCTTAAAGCAGAGTTCATACGCGAGCTCGGCCGAGGAGAACGCGGTTATTATGTGCCGACGACGGCGGCGGCGGCGGCGGCACGACGACCGTGAGATATCCGTTTTATTTATCTCGTACAAGGATTCCCCGGCGCGATATTTTATTTTTCTTCGCGAATAAACGACGCGTTTTTCAACCGTCGTTCGAGCCGTCGTGGACCACGGTAGGTGGACTAATTCGAGACACTCTGATCGAAGGGCCAAGAGTATTCGTTCACTCTCGCCTTTTCGGAAGACACTTTATTCTGTGTCTGCATAGTAAGCTCTAAATATACTCTTCCGATTGCAAGTTCCACTTTTCTTAACGTCACACGGGAAAAATATTGTAATAAAAATTACATTAAGGTTGTATTTCATTTTACAATGTTTTTCTCGAAACTCTGGATTATGCTACGATCATAGTATAAATTTCTATAAAAATGCTAAATTTGATGGTTCTCATCGAAAGTGTACGATATGAAAAGATACAAATGATTACAATAATTTGATAATAAAAAGTCAAACGTGCATAACGTGCAAATATTCGCGATTTCTGTCATCATTTCTGCACGACTCAAGATTACAAAACTTTATTATGAATTTTACTGCAATATTTTTCCCGTTTACTAACGTTTACGTTGACGCAGCTTGAAGATCAGAAAGGCCCATTTAGCGCTCGCTGCGTCCAGAACGTAAAGCCGTAGCGTTCACATTACGGAAGTGATGATTGCGCTCATGCGATCGATCGATCGCTCGCCATTGCTCAAGAATCGCGCGGCATTGAAACACCGTGATTTATACGTCGTTCTCGGAATCGATCGTACGATTGACACGCGTGCTAAGAAAGATGTTTAAAACATCGCCACCGAGCGCGGAGATAGTCGATCGAGGGGGATCACATAGCGGTTCGGAACGAAGGGGAAGGAGAGGCATCGCGCGGCACTCGGGAAGCGCGAAATCGAACGAAGTTTCCGTCCCGCTTCATCGCGACTTCATCGCACATCCTTGCGCGCCAACACGCGCGGCCTTGAATGTTATTCCTCTCCGTCACTTTTTCTCCGTTTATCCGTCGTTTTTCCCGTCTTCTGTCGAAATTCATGAATACTCGCGAAGGAAGAGGAGGAGAAGGAGCAGGAGGAGGTGCTGGCGAGCGGACTGCGCGTCGCTACGTAATTACCGTTTTTTTTTGTAACGTATCCGAGATGTGCTTCGCCCTTGCGCAATCATGGCACTTTCGTGGCCCCGGTCCCCGTGTGAGCGAGTGAGAGCGCTTCCTCCGCGCGCCGTGCATCCTCTTATAAACACGCATACACACGCACACACACGGGTGAGCGCGCGCGCTCCTCCTTTCTTTCTCACACGCCACACGGCAACGGCTGTAGCCGGGGCCTTTTGTTGCGCGCCGAGTGGGCTCTAGTTGACGAAATATTGACATCCGAGAATAGAAACCCGTTGCGGGATCTACCAGAGGGGTTCACCCCCCTTTCTTTCTCCCTCCTTACGTCTCCCTCCGTCGCCGTCGTCCGCCTCCTACCATCGAACGTGAACGACGGGGACTCGCGTTGTGCGCGCGGCGGTGAGGTGAGGCGAAGGGGAAAAGAGAAACTAAGGGAAAAGGCAGAGGCTGTGGGTCGCTCTCTCGTAGTCGCATTCAGCATGAATTTAAAGGGGGTGGGACGTAGATGACGTCAACTTCCAAATCGCTCCCTCCGCGAGCGAGCGAGCGCGCGCTATATCTGGCTGCGTGCGTGTTGTGTGTGTGTGTGTGTGTGTGTGCAGACACGTGTTACACGCACGGGAGAACCCGTGCGTGCGCCGCGCGCACCCCGTTTGCAGATTGGGGTGGATAAACGTCGCACACGGTCGGCTGACAAGCGAAATATTACACGCTACAGCCGATCGGATGAAAATTATTTTGTAATTGAGAAAGTGTTATGTGCGTTAATAACGAGCAATAAAGCGTCGACTGCATCAGCAGGTCACGTTTTCAAATTTGCACGCACGCACGCTGCAGCGAGGTGAAATTTTTTTTTTCTTTTTTTTGAGGACGTGTGTAGAAGAGGCCATTTTCGAGCCGAATTATCGTAAATCCGAACGAAAGAAGAGTAAAGTGAAGTAAAGTAGAGCAGAATAGAGTAGAGTGAATAGGCGTTTACTGGACCTTGGCTTGTAGACCCGATGAATGTAAAGCAAAAATATGAAAATGTAACATCTCTGTAGCGAGCCACGACTGCGCCATTGCGTGCTTAGGAGATGCGTGTTATTTTTACATACGAAATATAAATGCACATGAATGAAGGGGAATAAACAATGAGGAACGAAAAATAACGATAATAATATAAAAGCTGGAATATAAATATAATAATGTAAAACTTAATAATATAATAATAATAGGAATATAATAATAATATGTAATAATACTAGGAGAATATAAAAAATAAAATAAGTAAGAGGGTCCTAAATATGGCTTATAGCAAAGCATGTTATATACGGTAGAAAAATTGAAAAGGGAGTAAGATAGATGAATGGAGACTAGATGGAACGAGATCTCGAGTAGTTGCGTTAATCACAAGCGACCGGCTTTCAATCGCAGCGTGGCTATATACCGGAAACAATATAGCGGAGAGTAATTTTACACCGCCAAATCCGTGAACGAAACAAGAACATGAGCGTGATTTCAATTCGATTTACAAATCTCCGTGAAATCCCGGGGAGAGATGAACCCGGATGGGTGAGAGGGGCGGGAGGGGGGGGGGAGCTGAAAGTTTGCGAGCGTTCTCGTTAGCGACATCATCGCCTGTGATCATCGAGGACTTTGTAGTTCCCAAACATTTAAAGCGCACGTGTTAATCGATCGATCGGTCTCCCCAACATTTTCCTACGCTGTTGTCAACGCGTCCCCGGTTCTCTCTCTCTGTCTCTCTCTCTCTCTGTCTCTCTCTCTCTCTCTCTTTCTCTCTCACTCACCCCTCGTAGATCACATGACGCGTTCGCGCACGTACGCGCGCACGCTTGGACACATTCGCGTGTGCGTGTCCTCTGCGAGCGAGCGAGCGCGCGCGCTGCCTACGTATTGAACACAACGGAAAGGCCATTATTCGAAATTTGTTTTTGTTCGAGCGTCATAATCACGTCTCGAGGACGGCGCGCGCGCGTATATGTACGCGTATACGTGAAGAACGTTCTATGCCGGCGAGGAGAGGAGCGGGGAGGGAAAGAGAAGCGACGGTCCCTCTTTTTTTCAAATTCGCTGGAGGATACCGAAAGAAATTGCTTTGCAGACGATTGACATATGCGTCTGGTGCGGGATCGTTGTTTGTCTCTCGCTCGCGAGAACAGGCCGCGCGCGCCACTTTTCCGTTTTGTTTGTCTCGAGCGCTTGATCCGGTAGAAACGCCGGCGGATGTAAAATAAATTGCCGAGCGAAATGTGCAGAACCATTTGGGAGGGACACCTGTGACGGCGAGTTATCGATGAGATCCGTGACACAGTTGATCCGTTAAGGAGATATTCCCACTTGGCGGAATCGAGAAATCGATTTTTTTTATTATCTCTTTTGAAAATAGATATTTAAAAAATATATTACTCATGTTTTGATCCAGCTAAATAACGAAGGAATTGTCGATTCGAGTGAACGCTATCCATACGGAGAGAACGATTTGGTTGAATCAAATAAACATTTCTTTGGAATAGTCCAAACGAATTTTTTGGTTGATCGAACACAATTTTGTTTGACGCAACAAAAATATTTGTTTGCGGCTTAGTTCCAAAGAAATATTTTTGTTGTGTCAACCAAATAATTTGTTTAGACTATTGCAAAGAAACATTTATTCGATTCAATAAATCGTTCTCTCTATGCAGCTAATCGAGAAAGTCGCGCGGTGATTAGCGAAACGATACTCTAATTTCACATACTTAATTAACAAGTAGACGTTTAAAATTATTTGTACTCTACAGATATGTTGTAAAAATGTTTATATATATATAGTGTGTTAATGAAAATGTATGTGCACATAAAGTGTCTTAAACGTGTGGTAACTATCTGAAAATGAAATGTTCAATTTGAGCCGTCTGCACTTTTAATAAAGGATTTTATCCAATTTTACGAATAACCATTTTAACGGGAACTATTTTATTGATCAACAGATATCCCGGGCTAGAAATTTATCCCATACTCCTGATCAGGTTGGTCTTAATCAGTTACCTGTTTTGTATAAGCTGATGTTATCGGATCTTACTGAATCATATAACGTAACGTGGCAATCAGGGCAATAAGTATTATTAATAATTAGGACCCGATAGCATCACCTTATACAAGCCAGATAAGTGATTGGGATTAATCTGATCAGGACCATTGGGTAAATTTCTAGTTTGATCTAGATTACACACTGAACTGGTAATTTCCTTATAGAGCCCTGCAAATCAGGGACCAATAATACTCGTTTCAGCCCGGTTTATTATTAAATATAAACCGGCTTGATCTATGTCTGCTTTAATAAAATGAGATCCTCTTGATCAAACTTTAGAACAAGAAACTAACCCGGGCCAGTCTGACTTTAAAAGCGAATACAGGAATAGACAGAGAATCATATTTGATAACAAATCGAACTGGATAAAAAATTATTGAGCCTCGAATTGTAAGGCTGTGCTTCCTTAGTTCCGTAAAAGCTCGGAAGATACGCATTATATGTAGTAAATAAGCATCTGCGCATGCGTGGCAGTATAAAAGACGTCTAGGCCGCCGATGCCTACAGAAGTGACATTTCAAATGTCACTGTTTGTATTTATATACATTGCTTAATCAGTCAGACATGACCGTCAACCCACTTATTTGGATTTCGTGCACAACATATGTGCGTTTGAGCTCTGTACGTATTTTTATAAAGCGCGTGTATATCTTATGCAAGTTTGCGATCGAGTTTTTTTAGTAAAGATATCTGCGGGGATACGTGTTTGCTAGATTATTCGAGGGAATAATCGGACGTTCAGACCGTCGTTGTTTTGTTATCAGTTGTGCTTGAAAAACGCCCGGAACGTTAGTATCTTATCTAGAGTCGGTCGATTACATTGTTTGACATTGTTATTGTTCCCGGCACGAATCCCGTTCGCGCACACGCAACTGCTGGATAATCGCGATCGCGCCGCGTTTGCATAAAATCAAACTCGGTCTTCAAGTCGCGATTGTGACTTTCGAACAGACTCTTTTCTTCTTTCTCGTCGTTCGAATTCAGCAGATCCTCCCTCGATTCGATATCATCGATCGGCAAAGTCGCTCATTGGATCTCGCGCTCGGCGAGGTGAAAAATTTGCGCTCCGCGCGGAGAAAGTGTAGCGACACCAGCAGGCGCGAAAGAACTGCTTTCGGGTTCGGCCGAGAACCCAGCGCGGCCGCGGGATGCAAGTAAGTTGAGGTGAACGGAAGCGAATTGGCGGCGGGAGGCCTCGATTCCAAGTCCGACACTTACTTTCCAATTTCACATCGACGGGCTTTCCTTTTTTCCTATTTGTGCCGTCAGGGGTGTGTCGACGTGTATCGCTCTCGACGCTTGCGGTGGCCTCGGCGATTAGCGAGGTCTCGCGAGCGGAGAGCCGGCTTTTTCGCGGCTCGCAAGTCTCCAGGGATCCGTTAGTCGACGGAGAAAAAGAGAGAGAGAGAGAGAGAGAGAGAGGGAGGGAGGACACTCGGCCCGAGATTGACGCATTCAAGGTGTACGTACACGTGCAAAAAAGCGCTGGTCGACGCGCGATCGCGGCGGTCCACGTTAAAGCTTACGCAACGAGGAATCAGGTAACTGCAGATAAGAAGTCGTCGCGGACGACGTTTCTGCTTTTGCGCACAGCCAGCATTATTATCGTGGTGCGCGTCCGCGCAAAAGCCGCCGTACGCACGTGGTAACCCGATATTTCGCGAAGATACGCCGCGTTAAACACGCGCGCATCGCGCTACTCTTCCTCACGTGCCCCTCTCTTCCTCCTTTCCCTCCCCCCTTTTCCCTCTCACCCGCCTCCCTTCCCTGTATTTCTTTCTTTTCTCTCAGTTGGTATCTACATTCTTGCGACCGGCAATGCTTATCGCGCAATCGCTTTTTTGCTGAAGTCTCCATACCTGCCGCGGCCAATAACTTCCGTCCGAAGGTGTATGTGCACCAAATTCACTTATGGTTATTCAACAGACACGTAAAATGCGTTTTGTCCGCATTTGCGATCGCGGAAGTTTCCCGCTCTAAAGATTTTTTCTCACGATTTAAAACTATGAATTTACCCGTGTATTATATATACTGTATGATCAAACGTTATTATTTTTCCGCTGTTAAAGGGATAAAAGTGCTTCTAAATATATTTTAAAAACTTTCCGATTAACTTACGAGCACATTTAGATACGCTTTTATTCATAAAAGAAAGTTCACAGAATAACCGTCTATTCTTTCTTTTACGTTTTATTTAGCTTATATCTTACAGTCCGTAATAGATATATATGATTATTGAGAAATGAAGTTTTTTATTCAAAAGATGTCTCTTATTTTTAAAAAATCCTTTGGATATCGCAAGTCTTACTCAGATAGACAGGTGTACATTTTAACAGCAACTTTATACTAGTCGAAAAGATTGTTTTGTATGAATAATTCATACTCGAAGAGAATATTGTAATAAAAATTACAATATAATTTTAGTGCTTCGGGAATAGACTGGCATTATGATGAAAATTACAATAAGACATAGTAAAAATAACCATGAACATAGTAAAATTTACCATAACTGTAAAAATTATCATGTTTTTATGGTTATTTTTACTATATTTTGTTATCATTTTCGTAATAGTCTTCCAGGACTACTAAAATTGTATTATAATTTTCACTACAATATTCTCTTTGCGTATGACACTTGTATTTATCATACAATGACAAAACAGAAATACGAAAAAGTTATTAAAATTTGCTCAAAACAATGTATCTTGTAAAATGTAATGCTAAAACTAATTGTAACTTTTAGTAAATTTTTATCGCTGTGTATTGTTATAACAAAAACTTCTCTTTGTTGTACGATGTAAGTTAAATTATTAATACAATATTTGGCTCTTACAAGCATAAAAAAATTAAGAAAATTGTAGTTTCCATCATTGATTGCCTCACGTCATATCCGGATATGCCTATCCGGATCAAACATTATTATTTTTCCGCTTTTAAAGTGATAAAAGTGCTTCTAAATATATCTTACAAACTTTCTGATTGACTTACGAGCACATTTAGATGCGCTTTTATTGATAAAAGAAAGTTCACAGAATAAGTCTCTTTTTTTTCTTTTATTTAGCTTATATCTTACAGAATACTTATAGGATACAGAAGATGCAACTAAGAAAAAAGTTCCTCATTAAAAGAAAGGGCTCTCGTCGAAGCGCGAATTCTCGTGGCGTTACACTGTCCTTATCTCCGTCGCGTTCTCCCTCTTTTCTACGGGAACCCTCTCGCGAGGCGAAGTAACGTCGTCGTGTAACCCATTTGAACCCATCGGAAATCATGCATCGGCGGAGGCTTCGCTCGCTTTCCGCTTCCCCGGGCTCCTTCTCTCCTTCTCTCGCGCTCGCACAGCCGTGTGTTTTGCAGCGAGAGCGCGCGGGGTAAGGCGCGTATTATGAGCGCGGCGCGGCGTGGCGCGGCGCGGTGTGTGAATAGCGAGCACGTGCATTTCCCACAGAAAAGCAATGGGGGCTACGCGCCGCTCGGCGGCGTGGCCAGCTGGGAATACGGTCGGTCGGTCGGTCGGCCGGCTCTTTCGGGGTTCGGCTCTGCTTCGCCTTCGACGCGATGCGCGCGCGCGTTGTAGGGATGGACTGCCATTTAAAAGAAGAAAAAAAAATACTATCGACTATTTTATATTTCACCGTTGTCAACTGTCGTCGAGCGCACGAACACGCACGTAAATTATTGATGAGGCGATGAGAGGGAGAACGCGCGACGTCCGTCCCTGACTATTATTATTTATTTTAACGCCGCCCGAACATTTTCCGAACAGTGTGTGAACGTTGGGAATTCTCTTTTTTTTTTTTTTTTTTTCTTTTTTAACCCGAATTGTGGGATGCATAGCGTGTGCGGCACGCGTGTTGTATATTACATATCAATATGTATATGAAAAATTACCTGCCGTATAAATACCTTTCGTTTCCCGCCGAGGAATTTTCAATTCTCGGGCGCGCGCGCGCACGCGTACCGGCCGAGTTACAAAGTGAAATTTGTTTGAGCAGAGAACGATAATGTCGAGCGAGAAACGTGACCTTCTCGAATTATTCAAGTATCGTGAATGATTCCAGCGTGTGTTATTACTACGTCGCACGGTTATGAAATAAAGATCCGTTGCGATACGCCAAACAGAGGGACTATATATCGATTGGCAGAAATCCACTCGGCGGAGCGCGCGGGGGGTCTCTCGGTTTGCGAGACCGGGGTATGATCTTGACTTAGCGAACGGTAACCCGCCTTTCTGTCGCGAATGCAAAAGTTCACACTGCCATTTAAGCCGATTTAACTCTCGGCGGCGTGATTGACGACTTATTATCGTTCCTCGCTGCACATTACAAACGTCCACGAGCCATAAGATCGTTCCAGATAATCTGAGAAGATACACACAATGGCAATCGTCAGACCCGCGCGGATATCGCGCCACTCGATACCTCGACGTTGCTGAAAAGCGTCTCTCGTTAATAATAAGCTCGATCGACTGAGTTGTTTAATTGATCAACATACGTAATTGTTAACGTTTAAAAAAAGAAGGAAACAGATGCATAGACATTAATCGAATTTTCGATAACTCCAGAATTTTATTCTCTCTCTCTCTCTCTCTCTCTCTCTCTCTTACGATCATTTATAAACCGATCTTGCACCGTGCTAACATAGCTTTGCGATATAGCTTAGCACTATATCACTATATCGCTAAGAACAGTCTCGAAGGGAACTCAAATATAGAGTCGAAACGTCAATCGCTTGCGTCATATTTTATTTCGACACCGATATTCCAACTTAGCCGTCGCCGCCGCGGTTTCTAACGCACGCTTGTTTCTCCATTAACGATCGAGTCGTGACGTTCCGATTTCCCGAAGAAATAATTTTGGAGTCTGACTGAGACAATACTTTTCATAACTAAAAAGTTTCTCAAAGTGCAGGGAATTTAAAGGAAGGGAGTGGGGGTGGATATTTAATATTAAAAATATTCGTTGGATGAAAAAAGGGTTAGTTCTATGTGATAGATTTCTAATTGCAAAGTGCCGTATGTGTGTATTAAAAGTCTGAGAATAAAATCCAGCGTATACGTTGCGACAAAAATCTGACTCATCTCGCTATTAGATTTAAATTATCGCGTCCAAACAACGGTTCTTAAAAAGAATTCGTATCTTGGCAGAAGGCAGAAGCTTGTTAGAACTCGCGCTGGTAGAAAAACGCAAACTATCGACTATCTTGACCATCAACGCGAGAGATTGGCTTCTGTTTTTCTGCTGTTTGCTTTTCTGCCGAGATATGAATTTTCCCTTAGAATTTTCAAAAAATACCTTAGCAGAGAAACAGAAAGCAGAAAGGTAGAAGCCAATCAGAACTTATGCTGGTAGTCAGGTGATAATCAGCAGTTTCTGCTTTTCTACCAGCGCGAGTTCTGATTAGTTTCTGCCTTTCTATTTTCTGCTTTTCCATCAAGATGTGAATTGTCTCTTAGATTAACAAAGAGGAGAATTGGAAGGCGATATATCGAAAGTTGCAATTTTGTATATATAGTAATATATATAAAGTTAATCGCAATAATTACCCTAAATAGGAATACATACCTTACGACTAACTTGAATTAGTTTGACGTTATGACTCTACATATAAGAATTATTAATACGGTCCTTAGAGGCTCTTTTATCTATAAAGAGAGCTCAGAGTAAGCGTCTATGTCTTGAAGAACCTTGCCCATTTTACATGGCTTCTGGGTCTTTGATGACTAGTAACAGAACTTATATCAGTTTCTACTAATTATGGTCAATTTAACCGGTTGGTTATTCCAACAGAATTGACCAACCATACTTCTTTTTATCAGAATTGGAATAATCAGCCGGTTAAGTTAACCAAAGTTGGTAGAAACGAACATTAGCTGAAAATAAAAAGGTTATTGTTAGAGAATCAAAATGTTCATAGAGACAATCCTCCAAGTCGGCTGTTTAGAGATACACTCTTTGAAACATTGGAAAAGTGTACTAAGTGGCATTTTTCCAATTTCACAACATCCAGAGCATCTCCCCATAGTGATAATGATAATGGATAACATAAACTACTTGGAAATATCAACTTGAAGTACTTATCATCTGTTGTTACTAACTTCAACTGATTTTCAATAGTCCATTATTTCTCTATCGATCAGTATGTTATTGATTATTCCACCACGAGGAGTCCAAAACAGCAAGATTCTTCTTTGAAATAAAATTTCACTCAAAAAGTGAAGTTAGTTACGCGAATGATTTTTCACTCACAGAGTGAATTCTCTACTCTAAATAGTTGAGTGAATGTTTTCACTCAAAATTAAAAAGTGAATCTATTGGTACTCCACCGTCAAAGGAATATATTGATTTTAATGGATTGAAAAATTCGCTCATATGGAGACAAAAATTCTAAGCTTGAAGGAAACATTACTTTTGTGATTTCAAGTGACAGTATTCTCATCATCGCTTTGAGCCACTTTTTATTTATATTGAGTAAGATTTCGCTCCAAGAAATTTATAAAGTACTAGCTTATCATTCATTGACTGCTTGTTTACTTTTAGAAATCTTATTTTTATAAATTTTTTGTTTAGAGATAATGTCATCTCACAAGTCACGTTTTCTTTCTATTTCTGTTTCAGTGCGCTTGTAAGGCCTATCACGCTTTTGCGCGTTCCTCGCGTCCACCTCGCGGAGGGATTCAACGACGTATAAGAGGGTTTCTTATTCGTACGTCAGCCACAGTGGTGCGATAAACAACGGCGCCCCATTGAAGGATCGTCGGCGATCATCGGCGTCGGGAGTGCCGGCAGTCATTGTCGTCGTCATCATCATCCGGCTATCATAGCGCGGTAGCACCCCGGAACCGGGGGTGGTGGTTCACATCGTCTCGCGGCGATGGTGGCAGCTGCCACTGCTGCGGTCACCGCCACTGCCAGCGTGGTGGCCATGCAGGACCGTCAGGATATCTCCGCACAGTACAATCAGGTAATTGCGAGTGAAACAAAATAATAGGAAGAAAATGCCTCGCAAAACGAAATCCGGGGTAAGTCAAAAGGATATTTTATTCGTATTTTATCGGGCAACGGGAACCTCTGCGTAATCTGCATACGATGATTTGCAGAAACGTAAGTTGTAAGTTCGCCGCTATCACTGTCGCGAAATCCACTCCTCTGAGTGAAAAATATAATTATTTTTATTTGATTTTCATTATATGTATTATAATAGGACGTTTTTGACAGTCCATCCAAATGACAAAATTACATCCAACATTGTCATTATTATGATTATGATTATTATCGTTATTGTTATTACCATTATTATTATCATTATTATTATAATAATTATCATAATTGTTATTATTATTATTTCCAGATGCAGAGCCAACATGGAATACCCCACCAAACCGTACCGCCGTACAACGCGGGGTACGGTCAAAGAGGACCAATGGCGGGAATGGGGCCAGTCGGGATGAACAATTTCAATAACATAGGCACCGTGAGCCCGATGCACACTATGAATTCCATGAATTCGATGAACAGTATGAATGGTATGAACACGATGAATCCCATGACGATGGGAGGTATGAACAGTATGAGTGGTATGAACGCGATGAACCCCATGAGCTCTATGAGCGGCATGGGCAACATGGCGATGAACAACATGATGGGACCCAATAATATACAGATGAATAAGATGGCCACTATGCAGCAGGTATGTCTTTGATTGTGCCTTATCGCGATTCGATTCTCTGTGTGATTCTCTTTTCTCGAAACACCATCATAAATGTCGTTGCTTTCCAGGCTCAGTCGCATCAGGGCTACTCTCGAAGATTGGCGCCTTATCCTAGCCCTGCCATGCACATGACGCAGAAGCGACAGCAGGTTCCATCGTACCCTGGCCAGAGTCCGGCGGCGATGCAGCCGGGTGGCTTCAACGGCATGACGACGTCGCAGTACCCGAACAGCTATCCTAGCGGTGCGCGACCAAACTTTCAGCCGCAGTATCAGCAGCCTACGCAAAGCATGATTCCTAACGCTGCCGCCGCGGCCACCGCGGGGGTTTTTGGGCCTAACACGATGATACGGGGGTCGAATATGAGGCAGGCGGCGCCATCTTACAACGCCGCGTCGCAGGTAGCAGCGGTGGTCGCCACGAACCAATATTACAGCAACGCTGGCGTACCCGTCAGCATGGGGCCAACGAGCACGGGAGCGGTCGGCAATCAATTCGTAGGTCACCAACAGCCGAACGCGGGATACGGAGGCGGCGGTGGCGGTGGTGGCGCTACCGGGAGCTATGGCGCTGCGTCCGCTGGCGCCGTGGCAACCAGCCAATACCAACAGGACGTGGCGGCGTCGATGAAGTCGACGAGTGGCGGCAACGTGAGCTATCAGCACAGCCCCATACCCGGCAACCCGACGCCGCCGCTGACGCCCGCTACCAGCATGCCACCTTACATCAGTCCGAATCCTGATCTCAAGCCGAGCTTCAACGACATGAAGTCGCCGGTTAACATACAGAGTGAGTGTCAGACTGACGATAAGGGTGACGATCAACCTTAAGACATCCTGGACGAATTTTCTATGTTCTAATAATATTCTCGGTACTTATCCAGTTTAGCGACTTCACCTTCGATTTCGATGAAAGTAGGCTCAATCGTTTTTGTTAAAGAAACAACTTTTTCCTTTGACAAAATCGTCGTTCTCTACTGCGAGAAATTAATTGTTAAAGATGTTAGGTATGATAGGTAGAAACCCGTCATTGCAACGTAAAGTCTGTTAGTTAGAGTTACACTTACTGTATTAATGTAACGCAATATGCAACAACTTCATGAAAATACTTAAATTAAGAATACCGTAAGATGGGATTACTTTGTGACTGTAGGGGTTACTTTGTGACGCAGTGAATATTAGTCAATAGTTATATATATATATCACAAAGTATTGAGACTATTGTCACAAAGTAACCCCTACAGTCACAAACTAACCCCATCTTACGGTACTTTTAATGTATTAGACATATTTTGTAACACGGGAAAGATATCGAACGACGATAGGTTCGGTTAGGTTAGTTTTTTGGGGGGCGCAGCCCCTCGCTTGTAGTTTGATATATTTCCCGTGTTACAAATGTCCAATATATTAAAAATATTTTTAATTTAAGTATTTTCATGAAGTTGTTGCACACTGCGTTACACTAATACAGTAAGTGCAACTCTAACTAACAGACTTTACGTTGCAATGACGGCTTTTCTTAATCCATCATACCTAGTATCTTTAACAATTAATTTCTCCCTTCGCAGTAGAGAGCGACGATTTTATCAGAGGAAAAAGTTGTTTCTTTAACAAAAACGCGTCCATTGAACCTACCTTCATCGAAGTCGGAGGTGAAGTCGCTAAACTGGATAATTACCATATTCTCTCTCGCTAATATAATTCGTGCCAATGCACAAAAATTTAGGAGAAATCGTAATGTAAAGTTATTACCCTGGTTGCCCTGGTGCATAATATACCGCTCCAGAAAAACGAAAGTCAAGTAGCGAGTATAGTCGAACATCAGTTGTCGAGTGACAACTGATAGCGTATCGTAACAAGCTTTAGATAGCATACGAAATTATAGTATAAAAGTGAAGATAGAAAATGAAAGATATGTAGCAATAGAAAGGAAATATCTCTAAAATTTAATGACATGAAAATGTTATTCTTTGCAGATAAAAGATATTTTATTTTTCCACTGAAAAGTGAATTATTACTTTTTCTATAATAGTTGTTTGAAAAGTGTACGAATTTTAATAATTTCAGAATATTTTTTGTCATTTATTTGATTGCACTCTTAAGAAAAAACAGTGAGATAGAAAAACGATTGGAGAAGGCAGGGGTTGTGGAGACATGACGTTTAACAATTCTGACTGGGCGCCATACTTATTCAGCTACGCTCGCTAACTTCGCTTATATTAAAGCAGTATATATACTACACGCACGGTAAACTTTAAACTGCGGTTTATTGTAAACTGTTGCGCATTGGCACGAGTTTTATTTGTTAGAATCAATGTATTATGTTTATTATTTTATTATTATTAAATAATAAATAATGAAATCATAATTTTTATATTTATGTGACGTTTTGTTTCGTATTAATTGGTGGTCCTCTATTCTAGATGATGAATTGAGACTGACATTCCCCGTGAGAGACGGCATCATTCTTCCGCCCTTCCGCCTAGAGCACAATTTGGCCGTTAGCAATCACGTGTTCCAACTTAAGCCTACGGTGCATCAGACACTGATGTGGCGATCCGATTTGGAGCTGCAGCTCAAGTGTTTCCACCATGAGGACAGGCAGATGAATACGAATTGGCCAGCGAGTGTGCAGGTCTCCGTTAACGCGAATCCTCTCATCATCGATCGCGGGGAGAACAAAACTACCCACAAGCCTCTTTACTTGAAGGAAGTCTGTCAAATAGGAAGGAACACAATACAGATTACTGTGTCTGCGTGCTGTTGTGTAAGTTCACTGATATCAATAATTGGATATCAATAATTGGGCGGAACGGCGTTATAATTCACAATTAAAAAATATACGCTCTCTTCGCGAACGAAGCCTCGACGTGTTTAAGAGTGAATTCTCTTTGTTAACGTTCGATTTAATTCATTCTTTGTGCGCGAAACAATTTTTTGCTATATTATATGCTATATTGTATTGCTATTTGCGGCTGTCTATACATGCGTCGTGTGTTTTCTAAAATTTCTTTTTTTTGTTCTGTAACTTTGTTTTTATCATGAATGTCATAAAGTCATAAAATTGTAATGCTATACAGTCGCATCTGTTCGTCCTCCAATTGGTTCATCGGCCCAGTGTGCGAAGTGTACTTCAGGGATTACTACGTAAGAGGCTCCTGGCGGCGGAAAATTGCATAAATAAAATCAAAAAAAATTTTAATAGTACAATTTCGACCAATGGCATACAGTCGGAGAAGGATGTAGTAGAGCAAACAGCACTAAAGGTAATATTTGTAGAGACATTTCATAGTTCTCTTTCATTGTAGCAGCTCTATAATTCTAAAGTTCAAGCGTAAGGTATCAGTCTCGTTACATTCTTATCTATTTTCTTACCTGCAGGTATCTTTAAAATGTCCTATCACATTCAAACGCATCACACTGCCAGCTAGAGGGCACGATTGCAAGCATGTGCAATGCTTCGATCTGGAGTCGTATTTGCAGTTAAATTGCGAACGAGGCTCTTGGAGGTGTCCGGTGTGCTCGTAAGTATGATTAAATTGGATGATATAATAAAAAATCTTTGCGTCGGAAAGTTTCCTTTGTTAGTCAAATTGAGAAAGAATGAAAGGGAGAAGAATCGAAGGAAAAGATAAATCGTGGTGTATCTTGCAGGAAACCCGCACAATTGGAAGGCTTGGAAGTTGATCAGTATATATGGGGGATTTTAAATACATTGAATTCCGCGGAGGTCGACGAAGTAACGATAGACTCGCAAGCTGCTTGGAAAGCCGCGAAGAGCAGCTTAGCCGGTATCAAGTCCGAGGAGGAGAATGAGTACAAGAGAACGACGGCCAAGGCGATGTCGCCGGGCAGCATGAATATGCCGACCATGAACAACTGGGAGATGAATCAAGCCATGAGTCCTTACATACCACCCGATATGAGCAGCATCGTGAGCGGATCAATGATGAGCAACATGAACCATCGAAGCACTTCGGGCGGAACGTACGAGATCAACTCGGCGACGAACACCTCCGGTAGTAACGATTATGTCAGCGGCACGGGTCCTCTCTCGCACTTGAACGAGTCCGTTAATACGTTGGACACTCTCAATGCTATAGAGAAGTCAATCAACGAACAGGTATGGTTCTTTACGATACTAATATTAGTGCTCAGACACCATAAAGTGTCCTGAGAATATCCAGGATGTGTTCTGGACGTTTCAACACTTTGACAACCAACCGAATTACGTCGCATGCTTTTAGTGATCCGTGCGCAAAGTAACAGATTTTACTTTAAACTGCTATAATTATCGCAATATAAGGATTAAGGCTCTTGGCGCCTCGCATTGTCTATCTCTTTTTAATGACATCAGAAGCGAGAAAATGCATGCTAAAAATTCTTGCGAATACGTTAAAATAAAAATATATATCCATAAAATAACATTTGCAATCGATTAAATAAATTTGTAAGATATTTCGTGCACTCCCCTAAATAATCAATAATTTGTCATAAATTAACGTGACATACAATTAATCTTCTTAACTTATTTCTTTGCCTATTTCTATTCAGAGTAATTTACAATAAATTATTGATTGTTAGAGTAAAAGGGGAGTGCACGGAATATCTTAAAAATTTGTTTAATGATTGCAAGTGTTACTTTATGGATATATATTTTTATTTTAACGTATTTCGCAAGAATTTTTAGCATGCATTTTCTCGCTTCTGACGCCATTAAAAAGAGATAGACAGTGCGAAGGGTCAGGAGCCTTAAGAACATGAAATTTAAAAATAAAATGCATCTACCAACTCTTTATTATGTGTATTAGCAGATTAAATTATAAACTTCTAAAATTATTTTTTTCTTAATACTAGAAAAAAATTGTTCAAACTGTATTCGATTCTTACAGAATAGAATCGAAATGTTAATATTTATCATAAAATCTAATTTTTAATAGGGATTTTGTTAAGTAGCTCAATATACATATATAAAAAAATTTATATTTATTTAAAACTTTTTATAACTTCCTAAATTTTAGTTAATTTTTATTCTTGTCAAGGTCCTGTAACCTCTTGAATACTCATAGCGATGTGCAACGCCTAAAAAAAATTTATTATTTAGCGGGATCCACTTAATTCTAGAGGATTCTCCACTTAGATACAGGGTGTTCATACCACTCGTCCATCCTTCTTATTTCGAAGAAGGGTGACGCTAGGAAATTTGGAAAATATGTTTCTTATAAAAGCTTGTTTGAAGTTTTTGATGGTAGTATTTTCATGTTTGGGCAACTTCCAAAAATACTGGAAATTGGAGGGAATTTTAAAATTTTAAATGGCAACATGGAGCAACATGGATATCGCTGAATAGAGCGTGTAAAAAGAAACAACTTTTGCTTGAGACAAAATCTAATATTATTTACCGTTAACGAGAAATAAACAAGAAACTGCTTGCAGTTGTTATGACGCTCAATCTTATGGATTTCGTGTCAAACATAACACGTAATTATCGAAATAGGTATTACAAAAAACTAACGTTCGGAAAACTTTAAATAATTATAGATGTTCAAAGTGTCTGCTGCCTTCATGAAGACATCTTTCCATTCTGTGTCTTACGCTGTCGACAGTCTTTCGAACTTTTACAGGATTTAAAGAATGGCAGGCTTCTGCAATCTGTAGTTGCATGTCTGCTTTTGTTGTTGGGCGTTGTTTGACTCGTGTTTATGTTTAGCACACAATCTATACCACGAGTAAGAAGATTGAGCGTCATAACAATTGCAAGCGTTTTTTGTTTATTTCTCGTTAACGGTAAATAACATCAGATTTTGTTTCAAGTAAAATTTGTTTCTTTTTACGCTCTATCCAACGATATCCATATTGCCCTATGTTGTTATTTAAAATTTTAAAGTTGTCTCCAATTACCACTATTTCCGGAAGTTGAATATGGATATATCTCCATCAGAAATTTCAGACGAGCTTTTATAAGAAACAAATTTTCCGAATTTCTTAGCGTCACCCTTTTTCAAAATAAAATGGATGGATGTGTGGTCGTGAACACCCTATATGAATGGTCTCAAAAAGATGCTCTAATATCAAAAGGAATATCCTATAACCATGACTTACTGAACTTAAAATTGCAATCCTTTCAATGCTAGAGGAATTTCTACCTAAAATCTAACTTAGAAATTGAATCTAAATCAACTTGACTGTCAGATATTGTTTAAAGAAAACTTATTCTCAAATGCGGGCCAGTATTCGATCAAATAAAAGGAAGAGAGCGTACTAGGTGGCGGCGAGACGCCTTTTGCTCGTTCGAGACCTACGTTTTTTTTCATTTTAGAGATAGAAAAATATCGAAAGCGTGGTTTGTTAAGGTTGGGACTCAAACGGGTTTTGCGCTTATTGGGCAACTGCTCTAACCATTGTGCTACCACACTTCTTTTAGAAAATGTTTTATCTTATGATACATAATGGTGAATTTACTATACTGTATAGAATTTTCAAAATCGTAAAATAACTACAGAAAAGCTTCTCAACTTCTTTCTCACGATCCGCTGCGTTACTACCTCGTCCGCGTTACGGACGCAGGAAACAGCAAACGAGCAAACAAATGCACATCTCTAAACAGCATCGTATCTCCTTTCAATAAGTGCGTACCGCTAATATTTTGCATATCTCCTCTTCTTTTAAAAGAATATTCAGATTCTTATTGTACAATTTATTATTGAGGAATTTACTCTTGATTATACCTTACGCGTCTTCTCTTTTATAAATGAATAATGGCGTGTAAAAGAGGAGTACACTTCATATAAGTTTTTTTACTTAGAGGAGACGCTTAGAGCAATTCCCCGCTCATCAATAGAATATTTTTTTTATGAAAAAAGGTAAATCTATCCATTTCTTGTTTAGTGATGAAACAAAACAGGTAGATCTGTTTCGTCAATAATATGTTAAATGCTTTGTCGGTAATATGTTAAAACACTCCTCACGATATCCTGAATGTGCTCAGGACATTTTGAAACGCCTCTTATGCATTCTAGATACGCTCAAGACGTTCCTTAAGTCATCCTCGAATGATATTAAGACATGGCATACGATAGATACTTTTAACGTGTTGTGTTTTAGATGCCTCATACTCCACATACGCCGCACACCCCGCAATCGACACCTCACACTCCGGGTGGTGGCAACAGCGGCCCGCCGAGTGTTCCACCTGCGTCGCAGGAATCCACGGGGAATCACAACACCTCCGGCAGCACAAATACGACTATAAATAACGACAACAACACCACCGCGGATATACCGTCGGATCTAAATTTCGACCCCGCCGCAGTCATAGACGGGGAAGGCACTGGTCAGGAGGCGTTAAATGTGAGTACACATGCTTGCTGAATCATTATTTATCTCGATTCTTCGATGACAAGTAGGAATCACAGTCTCGTTGTGAGGGCATAGTAATTTTCAGATCATTTCAATCGCTTTAGTCAATTTTAACGACGCGTTGTATGTTTTTCTTCTTGTTACAGCTCTTGCCAGACAACGTTGTGGACGCGATGGATTTCTTATCATATCTCGATCCACCGGACCTAAACACTCCACCCAGCAGTGGCGCTAGCAGTGGTAATCCTTCCTCCAGCGACGACATATTAGCGCTTTTTGAATAAAAAGAAAGGAACGTGCGAATTGATGTTTTGTAAGGGTATAATCAAATCGCAACTCGCACTTTTTATAAAGTGACAAGAGAGTGAAAGAGAGAGAGAGAGAGAGAGAGAGAGAGAGAGAGAGAGAGAGAGAGAGAG